ATACAAAGCCCATTCCAAACTAGTATGCTCCCTCAATTTCACCCGTATACATCGGTAGCACTTCATTACAGCTAAATGTGACAAGGTCTAGGTGCAGTCCGTTTGTAGTACTCAATTCGATATGGGTTTTGCGCCCAAACGGCTTGCTTGGTAATTTTTTTTCATGCATTGCTACAGAGTTGCCTTGTACGATGTTTGCAGAACCTTTTTTTTAAAATCAGCTTGATAATTTTTTAGAAAGCTAAACTAGATACACATTTCTGCGGATACAAAGCAACGACCAGCGGAGAAATAGAATTCCGAGCACTTGTTTACCCTCGGAAAAACTTTAGTGATGTAATTTTACAGTAGTGTACATTTTAGCCATCTACGTGGATGTAACAAGCAAATAAATCTAATAGAAAGTAAGATTTGCACGACTCACGCATTTCCATGTATTGTCGGTTCTGAATCAGCAACCAGCTAAAGGTATAATGGTGCACTCGTTCTAAAATAGGTTTTGTGTTATTCGGAATTGGATGATCCCTTATTAGGCTACCGACCTGTTCACTGGAGTTGATCGACACTTGCTTTTTGTATCGGTTGTCGAGTTCAGCGTTTTCCAGCACCAGGTCATCGACCTGACTTTGCAGTAGTTTATTTTCGTGGGAGAGCTTATCAACTCGGGTCTGCAGGAAATGCCGCGTCTGAACGACCTGCGAAGCAGAAAGGCGATTTGTTCATTTTGAAACGAGCTTAGAAAATGGCTAACGTTTGCGTCAGCCGAGCGAGCAGGTAACGCAATATGGCGTAATGAAAAATGCCCGGCAATGAGGGGACGAGAACAAAAGGGTTTAACCCCCATCAAAAAGTAAAGACAGCTTACGAACCTGTTCCAGAGCTTGCTCGAGTTGTTCACCCTGAGCTACAGCGGATTCTTTCGCACGTTCGGCGATCTCCTTTAGCTGGTCCGCTTCCTCGGCCTTTTGTCGCAACCTAGATACGAAACGTATGCAAAGCCAATCGGAAAGAAATACCCCTCATGCCATTATGGAACAAATCAACCGAAGTCCGTAGTGATGAGTCAATCTACGCATACGTATAGCAGAATAAATAACCTGACAATTATGATCCTTGCCGTAGTAAACGTACTTGCTGATCTGCGTTCGAGTGGGTTGAGTGACCCGCATATGCTCGATAGTGACGCGAGCATCGCGTAGCAGTACAAGAGTTCGATAAAGGCAACGCTTAAGCCGTTTCTCAATCCCGGCTTGATCGCCCAATTCGTGAACCTATGAAGAAGCAATTATAATGAAGTATATGAATTCTACGGGCCACTTGATTTTCGTCCCTCGACCCCATCTTAGATGCGTGCGTTCACAGCAAATCTGCGCACGTAATCAAAAGCTCTCAGCGCCGACCACCTCGCTCAACGACCAATTGCGTACGGCGCGGTGAGAGTCATTCTGAGTACACAGGGTGTCTTGAAAAATGTATACATTATGACAATTTAATTAAATTACTTTTTTCATCACAGTAATTGATGCTCGTAATTTAAGTTTGCTACAAGAGTCTATTTGATCGCTCATTCGGGAAGATTTTGGCTAGGATGGAAAGTTTCAACTCATAGAGCGTTCCGTCCGCTACCCAGGCTTAACGTTGACGGATTCTTGCTTGTGGGAATATCTTGAAGATAACGCTAGAAAAGCGACTACACTGAAAGATTTTACAACAACAATGGGATTTTTGAATGAACAGTTTACTATTTCGTGCAGCATACTGAGCACAATGGTAACCATTGTGAGCATCTGTGGTAGGAGGAATGTTATAAGTTTTATCTATACCCTTTTGCAATCTACGTACTAATTATCACAAGTGAAGTTACAGTATTTAAATTGTGCATACATTTGTTTACATAGTACGCGTGCCCGATTTGAATGTGAGACTGGGTGGCTATGCGCGCGTATATTGTTGGTCTATCGTAAAGTCAGTGCTGGCTTGTTTTTTATTTTGAACGCAGTATTAGTTAGTAAGCATGTCACAATCAGTCTATCTTGTTAAGCTAACAAGCATTGCACTTCAACTGACCTTTTCGATGAGGTCTTGTCGGTTATCTTGAAGTTCAGTATTTTTGCGCAACAGTTCTCTTCGCTGATCTTGGCACTCCTTTAGCAACTGCTGATAATGGGCTACCTCCTTCTGAGCCGCCGTCTTCAGCTAATTGAACAATGGGTTGCAGTTAAAAAGGTAAATGCACTTTGTTTCAATAAGATCATTTTGCATTTTGTTAAAATAAAATATTGGTATAGCAGTGTTTACCTATCAGATACGCACAAGTCCATACGAAGATGAACCGTTATGCCTTTTACCTGCTCGAGCTCACGATCCTTGTGCTGGATATCCTGTGTAGATCTATCAGCTTGTTTCTTGATCTGGTCCTCAAGATGCTTATTTTGTTCACGTAGCATGTGCAGCTGGGACTGTAGATCTTCAAGGTCTTCTTTCTGACTGCTCATTACTTCTTCCAAGTGTGTTTGGTGGCGTTTGAGGATACCCACCTGTAGTAGACACAAAGTTACCGTCGTTATTAAATGATTCGAATCGGCATAACAGATTTAGTAGCCAGCTACTACATGTACCTCTATCGTGGCTATTTCAAAGCGCGTCGTTTCTGGTCTTCGACAGCAAACATCCTGTAGGAGAGGATGGTATGAATATATATATATATATATATATATATATATATATATATATATATATATATATAAAGAATTTTTCAAATTTGTAAATAACAACTTATACTTTCGCTATAATTGAATTTTTTTTTGGCAAGTAATTCGGTTTTCGTTGCACCCAAAGTATTGGTCGAGACGTGTCCATATAATTGTAAAAAACCGAAGGTTTATCTAACAATGTTCATACCTCAATTTCGGCGGTGTCCTCATGTGCACTAGTTTCCGATAATTCCCGCTGCAGGCGATGCGCCAGCTTCTCTTTACGCACAGCGTCCGCAATGGCCGCCTCCAGCCGCTGCTGGGCCTCGTTTCGTTCTTGGCGCATTTGGTGAAGTTCCTGTTGTCAACAGAGTGCTATATTATATTATACGTGAACTGTACATGTATTAACTTTCACAACTGGCAAACACATACGATGGCATAAAAAGAAAAAAATCATATTTACAAATCTAACTGAACACAAATTTCAATAAAAACGTTCAAATAGTAAAGGCCAGAATCACTGGTTCGCGACCAGCGGTAAAGCGCATATATGACGTATCCTAGCAAGCAAGTAAATAAAGAGACGGGCAATATTCTGTACTGAAAAACATCATACTTTTTCTGTTTATTAGTTGTATAGCTCTCTTGTAGTATTATTACTATTGTTGTTATGCTTAATTCATTGTACTACCTAATTATTGTTACAATGTGAATTCATCTTGTATACGTTTGAGAATATTGCGTTGATCACTCTCACGTTCCAAATTACTCTACTGAATTGTGTAAACGCCTATTTTTAGAGAGTTAGCAATTATTAATCGTTAGATGAATTTAATTTTGAAGTTTACCTCTTGAAGCTGCAAAATCTGAGCTCTCTCGCGGCCGAGAGAGTATTGAGCTTCCTTCAGGTCAGCTTCGAGTCTGCAATGATTGATCCTGAATTTATTATGGACAATTAACTGACATAGAATCGTTTCGGTGTTATGCATCTTCGGCTGAGATGTCTCACACCTCACGCACGTTGGCTTGCCTCGAAAAATTACACACATACCTACCCACCTATTTTGCTTATGTTCGAACGTTTCGAACTTTTGCTGACCAGCCTGGCCTTGCGAGGAGCCCAGCTCATAATGTTCAACCTGTAATCAAATGCGTGACCAAGGCAAATACGTGTCACTTTATGATTTATTTGACCATGATGATGGTTTAAATGATATACGTGCTGTTTTTTAAGCAAATATGACTTGTGACACATGCTTCAGTTCTACATCCGAGAAACTACCAGATCATCCAGTACTGTTAGAAAGACATTAGCGGATCGTTCTTGAACCAAGTAGTTTTAAGTTAGTTGACTAAAGGGCTGCATAAGACTGAACGGCTCGATCAGTCAACTTATATCAATCATGCTGATCTATGAATTAGCGTCGTATGGCTTGGAAATGGTTAGCCTTCTGACAGCATTTAGGAACGAATACGAATCGCCAGACTGTTAGGTTTCCGTTCATTTTTAGCGAACATATGGTCCTTGCAGAATAATTTTCATATTCTTCGTAAGCTGTGTCGAGAAAAATAACAGTGATATCGTCACTCACGCTAATTATATGCATTTTATCATTCATTGTAGGATGTAGTACTTGTATGTTTCACCAACAGAGCGTGAAGTACCTTTCTTTTGGACAACGCTTTTTCAAAATAAGGAACATTCTGAGGTGACTTGTCAGCCCGAACACCTATCCGATGGATTCCTACTTTGTTTCTACTCTCAGGAGCGATGTGTTTACATCTGTCATATGTTTAGGTTTTTCGTGTTGATTTGCTTGCTATAAGCCAATATGTTAAAAGGTTACTTTATAGGATGCAAAAGTAACTATTTTTAGCGCACTATGTATATGTACTATGTACAGTATTTCTAGTATTCGTACATACAAAGCACGTTAAGATTCATTTCGATATAAATGTCTAAGGAGCACGATGTTTTTTCCCATGATTGATAAGCAGTTCGTACCATCCGGCTGCTGCATGCTGGGTATATTGATCGTGGGTAGTGGAACAGCTACCAAGCCAAACGACGCGATTTTACGCTCTATTGAATTTCAGGCCCAGTTAGCGATGATTTGCTTCTCAATGAATCACGCAGACACTTAGCAGCTACTTATTAATATTTTGAATTTTTCGTTCTATTCGATAACACTCACAGGCAGCTCACTGTTTTTGGTGACTTTGTCCTTAACCCGGCACTAAAGTAAACTCTTTTAGCAAACGGAGGAGCCGCTCTATGCCAACATAACAACATTTCTGCCATCTGCGGTTATCTTGTCATGAAAATCTTAGACGGATGCTACTTGATAGTGAACAAACAACAAAATGATCGTCTCTCACCGAGATATTGTGCGTGAAAATAAAAATCAATTGGATCGGAGTGATGACATTTTTAAACGTTAAACAACAAGCAAAGGCAGCCCTTACCTTTTTCGAGCCATGTCTCGAAGGGGCAGCGGATATCGAGAGAAGCGATTCGGGACTGGTGGAACGAGACTGTGCTATCGTCGTGGCCAATGAATGTGCACTTAACGAGCAGCTCACACCTGAAGATGAGGCCGTATCGGTAAATGCGTCCTTCAACTCCGTTTCACGAGGGTCGACTCCATCAAGAACCGAAAGCGGCCGCGGTGTCGGACTTCGAAGCAACCGACCTAGGAAACACAAATTAATATATCATTAGTATAGATTTAATAACCAAGACAAAACATACTTTATCTGTGGCACTGGTTCAAAACAGGGTCCCGCATCCGTACCTACAACGTTTAATTATCGTTGCCTCTTGATAACTAGAAGCTTAAAAAAAGAACGAATAAAAAAGTAAAATGAAATAATAAATAGTAACAAAGGATTAATTTTTCGTGGTAAACTGTTTACGGAAGGGGGCAAGGATAATGTAGGAGTAGGGAGAATGCGGTTATTCATGGGACTTGTAAAGGTCAGAGAAATATGCGCAATGCCAAGAGGTTTTTAAGAGAGAGAGCAGTTGGTGACGAAGGTCAGGGCTAATGGAGGAGAATGAGCGATAGATGAGGTTACGTTGACAGTAAATATACTAATAGCCAAGTTCTGCGTAGCAGGTTCTCGCGCATGAAAGCAATCTGGTATAAAATTTACAGCTGAAGCTCAGTTAGGAGAAACAAATATTGTTGGTTTATGTATTATGATATATACACACGTCACTTTGGGTATTGCGATGTGCCTCCATGCGTTTGAATTACTGTGGTAACGCGGGGCCCTTGTTTCATTGATGCCGAATAACTCTTCCGTTGAGCCAATCAAGTAGATTAGACAGGGGCCATCCCGAAGAACGTTTCCCATACGTAGCAGCACTAACGGCTGCGGTAACAGGTGCAGGCATTTTACATCTTCCACTGGAACTCTTCGAAACAGTCGAAAGAAAAGTTTCGCTCGGGCATAGCAACTGTCCAAATCGGTCGCGATGAATTTCCTCAGGGCTGTTTTTTTTCTACCGTTTAGGTGCAGCAGGTCGTTTTATGCGGCGGATAGGACCACCAACAACGTGGACTCAACAGCAGACCTAGCTGCCAACTGACTATGCCGAGTATGCAGCCGGCCTAGCGCATGCTCAATGTCTGGTTGTGCGTTCATTGGTCTCTGTTGCGTCGTTCAATAACGCCGAAAAAAAAAGATAGCTAGCTTGAAGGAGACTCATACATAGTCTACAGTATCAGAAAATAGATAGTTAATATCTTTCGACAAGTTATCGATTCTCTGAGGCGATGCCACGTGAAAAATAGCTGTGGTAAGAGGCGATAGCATAATTAAATTTTTTGGGGTTGGTTTAAGACTGACTGTGGCCGACAGGACAAATCTGTCCTACGCATCGAAACGGTGGTGGTCGGGGTTGAGTAACCTCTGTGTATCACCAATAGCCCTTTAGCGGTGTTTGTACGAACAGCATACCAGTTCGAGCGAAATAAAGCCCTTCTTAGGAACCAAAGTTTTGGAAGGCGAACACTGCTCGGCGGAGTTACCGCCGGCTTAAGAGCATGGGAAACGCGATGCCCGGCCTATGAGGGCGAGCTGGATAAATAGAAACGTAAACCGGAAATCAGATATGCCAACGTATTAACGTCCGTAAGAAGCGGCCATCACCTTCTATGGGCGCCACCAATCGGACACTTTGTGGGATCTCAAGTCCTCGCTTCAGTGAGTGCAACAGCTCCGTTAGGTCGCAGGGCACCTTTCCGTCGTCGGCAGGTATCCTAATACTAACGGAGAAGTGCGCGACAAGCCCACTTAGTGCCCTAGGTTTCTGCCCTGTGAACTGCTTAGCTCGTAAAAGTAGTGTCCTGAGCAAAAAAAAAACTGTAGTTAGCACTTTATCATGGTTCCCTAATCATCCGCGCCACAGTCTCTCCACCGCATCGTAAAGGCATCAGTTTCGTTTTACTAAATCCCACCATCCAACTCTCAGAAGTTCAAAACACTTCTGGCCTGATACAGCCTACAGAGTACCACTTGCAACACCATCTGCCATTAAAAACATGAGCCACCATTACAAAAGCCGAACGGCAATACTATAAATGGCTAAAACACCAGAGCTCAACTGCATTTCTGATAAGCTAGATCGTCATGATCGATTACTTCGCGGAAATGTTCGCAATGTATTATCCTGCGAGTTGTTATCGCTAGCCATGGCGATGACGTAACAGGACTTGCTTGAAAGGGAACTTTCCATACGGACAATCCTACAAATCTCACAAGATGGAAGTTGGAAAAGGCGTCCCTCACCATGGCTTCTTGTTGTACAGTATACGGTCAAAATGGTACACGAGGTTTTTCATAACTAGAAGTAAATTTCTTCAATGACCACTGTTTCGCTTCAGACCTCGCAGAGCGGTTCGAGGACCACGGTTGTCACACTGTGTGTAGTCGACGGCGAACGTCCACGAGACCATGTTTGCAATATATATCTAGGCGCGTAGACGTAACAGGAAAATTGTGATGAAAAAAAAGGTTGCCTATTATCGCCTAGCGTCCCACATAAAGAGCAACATCGTCCGCTGGCTTGATGCACCAATCGGCTGTGGATATGTAAGTTTTTCAATTTTAAATCCTGTTCCTAAATCATTAGAACAAACAATCGTCTCGGTTCAGCAGTATATTGTGTAGATACTACCATATATATATATATATATATCTTTTGCGTAATTGATTAACGAGTAAGTGTAAATAAGCGAAAAAGAACAGAGAGTCTAAGTTTCTAGATTTAAAGAGATAGCAACTTACTCTCAATATAGTGAAAGCTAATATTGTTCTGTTAACTTGGCTTGATTATGAATCGCTCATTGGTATTTATTCTTTTCTAGACGGATATATTTATCTGACCAAATTCATTACCAATGAAATTAGCTAAAAAATAATTATAAAACAACAAATCGTGCTAGATGCGTGCCATGGTCAAGCGTATAGCGCTTAGGTGGTTCAATATGTTTAAACACTTCGGATAGCATCGCCTGTACTGTAAGGTGTTTCGGTCCGTTCTAAGAAGATCATGCGATTCTTGACAGAGTTGACAAAAAAAAAATTGGCAAAATATTCCTATTCTTTCTTGGCTATTTACCATTTCGGAGCCATGCAATATTATCCTTCTGTGTCGCTAGATTTCTGGCCAATGTGGTACGTTGAGTCAAAAGCCTGAATAACTTTCCTTGTGTGAACGCCTTCGTATGCCTTGGTTAGGACTCGGCCTCTGCTAGTCGACAGAACATAGGTACAGCAAAGCTACTATTTCGTAGTTATGCTACCCGTTCACTCCGAACGATTCGCGCCAAGTTAAACTCTAAGCAATTTACAAGATGCGCTATCGAGAGAAACTAGCTATGTCAGTGTGAACGTTCCTTCCATACCTTTTTGTCCAGCTTCAAAGAATAAAACGCTTAAATAACCAGCCAAACTTCCCATTATTTTGCTTGCTATTCTATTTTCTAAGCAAGGGTAGACAGTCGTACGCCACTATTACGACCACTATTACCTCGATCGATCAAAGCAGGTATGGCTTATAGACGCATTTCGTCCGAAGAGAATGGATGGACTCGCTCAGTATCGACAATGTAAGCTGTCTAACATCATAGACAAGGCAAAGGGGCCTTAGGTGTCGTTATTTCTGTTCCCCTATAGCACACATTTGTACAGTGCAAGCGGCTATGAGTCTGGCCGGCACCCTCTACAACAGACTAACGCCGTCAGACAAATGTCATATATCACAACTGAAAACTCTGGTAGATGGGCGAAGGCGTCGAATATCAGAATCTGCTATACGCTAGCGACTCTCAGTTGTCGGAGAACAGTTAATCGTTTGATGAGTTTTCTTTAGAGAAAGATGCTTTTAAAGGAAGTGCTAATCTTCCACTAGTCTGACTGGGATTAGCGTACTAACTCCATTAGGATATTGACATCGGTAGCAGCAATCAAAGCAGGAACGAGTTTAAGACGAACTGCCTCCAACAGAAGCGACGAATGATTATCACCAATGTCACCAGCTTTGCTGTGCTATGCACACACAACAAGTAACTGCTACGCTAAGACGACCCACGAACAGCAGCCCGTCATGAGCATTTTCCCGTCACAAAAAAGCAAAGAAGAGAAGACTGCTCTGTTCTAGTCGTGCAGGCAGCCTGGCAAGCCCTGCAGGCTTCTGCTGTCTGACTGTTGCTATATGATAGCGTGCAGGCTAGCGGCCTTTGGGCAGGAAAAGCGCGATGAGAAGTGTTGAGAAAGAAGAATTCTACGCGGATCGGAGAAACGAGCTTAAAATAGCGAAGACTGAACAAAATGTGGTCTGTGCTCTAGTGTAAACTGGACTTTGAGGCGAGTCATTGATTGTGGAAGTGCTGATACAACAGTGCCTGCCTTGTGCTAAGAGCAGTCCAAATCAACTTCTAGATGTAGCTTCCTTTTTAGTAGCAGTCACATTGCGGCAATGCTTCATACAGCTTTTCCGACAGAGACTCCGCTAGCAATGATAGGCCAGCTTTCAAACTATGGCCGACAGCCTATGCGGGCCACCGTTGGCGCGAGCTGGCCGCTGCATAGAATAGGACATGTGTCGTTGCTCTGACTGCACATACTACACACGCACACACATATACATCTATATACATATATATATGAGAAGGAGATAGAAAGCAAGACAGAGTGAAAATACGACACTTAAATTGGGGCATTCCTTATGCTTTTTTGAGACCGCATCTAAATACAGTTGGTCCAACAATGGTTCTTTACATGTGCTAGAGGTGCCATCCGTGAGGGCTATGCTAGTTCCATGCGACTAACACTGATCGTAATAACAGCTTCAATTTGGGACATGAAACGCTCATTGGTCGTTTTCGGGCTCAAATCGGCCAAAAGTCCCAAAAATGCAAAAAAAGCGCGAAAAAATTCAAAAAGACTATTGACAATAAGTATTCTCCTTCCCAAGTCGGCCAGTAATTTCTTTTCATAAACATCTAAATCATCATAAATAAGACATTTTGACAGACTCTTGAACACATTTAAATTCCAGATTTAGTGAAAATCTTCCAGTTTACCTAACGGAAATCCTTTTCAAATTCTCCAGAAGCCGCTTAAAGACTGGCAGTAGCGTAAACCTTCGATATCGGACAAGCAAGGAGGTTCTTGGCCTTAAGAGAACTTAGTCCAACACAAAGGGATTGGATAATAGCTCATTTTCGGTTAAACGCAAAAAATTATACGTATATCATGTCGAGTCCGTTGTTTCACTCAAGAAAAAAACAGACTCCCTCCTAATGTTAATGGCGGCTGCTGAACGCATGTCTGTTATGCCAAACAATCGAAAAAAAAAAAAACTGAGGTGCCATGCTCTGAATATGTGTTATGTATTTTTTTCATTTGTCGGTCTGTCTGTTATCATGACCATAAAAGCCCAAAGCGCAAAACGGTAACACTAGGACAGCTGCTCTAAGAGAGGATAGTTCTTCGGCGAATCGACCAGGTAGACAGACTGATTGAGCAGGACTAGATAAACCTATACTATTACGCTGTCTGTTCTCTAGAAAATAAGGCAGTCAGGTCGCCATAGCAGGAGCAGGAGCAGGCGAACATATAAGAGAAGAAGATGGATGAATATTTTCTTATCATTATAGAACATTGCTTTATAGATTAAAAAAAACAAACAAAAGGTATGAGAAAAAACGAAAAGTCGCTGAACGTGCGACAGACGACAGATAGAAATAAGTTAATGCATAGGAAGCGCTAGTAAAGATATTCTCTTCTGACATCGTTTTAGATGAACAACACTGTCTAACCTCTTCGCATTGATCCCTGAGCAAAGGCAAATTTTTTGCCCAGACCCAACGTTGTCATTTAATTAAATAGGACAAGGAAAAGGTGCAGTAGGTCGCCTAGTCAAAATGAGCTATCAGAAGTCATTGGCGGATTTGTTATTATAGACGAGCAATATCATATAGTATATTTAACCGTATATGCCTTCTCTCTTGCGTTTCCGATGGATGCATTGCCGTATTATTATTATCTACATAGAGAAATGACAAAGCTGTTTTGTTCAGCTGAACCAAAATTTTCGATGTTTACTTCAGAATTATAATATAATAATAATAATAATAACTTCTGTTGTTCAACGAATACATGGGACAACCATTATGCATATCTATATATAGTAGAGTAGAATCAATCGTTGATGGTTTTCACAAATACGTACGAACATATCGACACGAACGGAGAAAATGGTCGGCCACCAAAGCAGGCCCTAGGCAACTAAGGATTTTTAGAAGTTCAGTCTGCATAATGGTTTTCTTTAAGCGTTCTTCTATATGCCAGATTTCAAATCGGCTGAATCATGACAAGAGCGCTGTGCTAAACCGCAATAATCAAAACCCCTGGCATCGTTCATTTATGCGCTGCACGAGTCTGTGCCCGACGTCTCCACTGGAAAGAGTCAGATCGATCGCTCTGCATCGAACCAATAGACTACACTGATCTCGTAATTGAGCTAAGTATAAAGCTCATCATAGATTTTAGCAAAGGATGCCGAGCAAAAAGTCGAAGGAACGTCTGACATCGCTAACGAGCTGTTGTAGAAGATTATTTACTAGTTTATTCAGAAGATTTATATCTGCTCATAGAACAACTAACTGGCACCTGTTTGTCAGATACCCTCTGAAGGGGTCGTTGCGTGTAAACAGGAAGGCCGTAACGCAGCTTGATAACCTTGCGGTTGACTGCTAGTCGAATGAGTCGTCGGTAGTTGGGACTTTGCAGGCCGCTGGCATGTGTTCGCTTAAGCGACGCATACAAATGGTCCACATAAGAGGGCCTGATATTACCGAATCAAAACGTGAGTCGTAAATGGCTTGAGAAGTAGACGAGACAATGTTCTTAAGCAAATACCCTACGGCTGTAAACGACTAGCGCGGCAGAAAGACAACGCAAGTGTATAATATAAATAAACGTCATAATGAATAATAAAAAGATCGACATAACCAAAATAACAAAAATAATTATTTTTTGGCAATGGCTGGATTTTTTTTTTTAACTAACTAAAAAGCGATTTAGGCGCTCCACCAAACGTTGACGTTGCCGAATGCCAACCGCTTAGTAACATTTTTTTTTTGACGTTATTTGTCAAAAAAAAACTGCCTTTATTTATAGCCGTATGCACTCAGATCGGTTCTTATATTGCAAATCTGTCCTACGTGTTTATCATAAACCTTAACTAGTATGCACCTTGTTATTGCTCGTCTCATCTCACTTCTGAACTATTACGCTGGACAAATAGGCCGCCAAATTCTGTCTTTCAGCTTCATTTAATGAACACGTTGATAATACAACTGGAGGGTTAGCGTATAGTACTATTAACGTTTTACTTACAGCCATGCCGTAACTATGTGACACTGACTCTGCGTAATGGTGGCTGCGTATTGAAGAGAGGGCATTCGAAGCAGCTTTACGCCAGAGCTAGTACGATTTCTACGACGGCGATGAATGCAAGATATTTGTGCGATTCACTCTTACGTCTCTCTGTCTTCGAATCGCATATGAGTCATTGCGTTAACACATCTTCATAAGTTGTTACATCGTTCACTTAGACTAAACCCAGTTCCAGCGCTGACCTTCTGAATCGCGTGCACACCGGTGTATACCTCGGTGTCGTTTGGCGGCAGACCAGCAATTGCATCTGCGGCTTTAAGCACAGCCCTCGACGATATGTACCACGACAGAGGGTGTGCATCATAGTTTACGTAAGCGTTCCTGTTATCATGTGTGGGCGAACAAGCGGTATGCTGCTGATCTTCAGATTTTTATTGCTCTTCAGCGGCGGCGACGACGGCGGAACATTTTGCCGTCATAACGAAGAGTCGCGGTGCTCCACCGGCGCTACTGTGCGTAGCGATCGCGGTAAGCCTGCAGTCGATCGTGGAAGACCGTAGTATAAGACCTTTTCTGTACAGGATACCGCATAGCACTAGTGGCGAACGCAGCAACAGAAAGCAGATTACCAACAACACATTGGATAAGCATATCATGTTTACTGGCTGTGTTCGCAAAGTCAAAGTTGTAGCAGTACCAGCGACAACTTTTAATTGGTGGTGTTTTCTTCTTTTCGTTTTTTGGCTTCGAGGGGGACGGAAAGAACGGCGGCCAGACTTCACGACGAAGTGAGCGTTACTGAGTGCCCAGAAAAAACGCAGACATTGCAGACTTTGTAGATTTGGCTAGAAGCAACAAATGCGGTCAAAGTTTTGGCCACAACAGGGAAAGCTGAAAATTTTGTGTGACCGACGCACATGAGTGAATAGTAAATGGCTGTTCATCTCCTTGAGTATGAACTCTGCTGGTTCGCAAGAGCAATTATATCAGTTCAAGGGAAGTTTTCTACATAAACGATCGCTCTGCGACAATATTTGCTTTTAATCCTCCAGTACGTGGTTTAAATCTCTACAAAAAACGAACTAGAAATACAGCTTTGTTCTATAATTGCATGCCACTACCTATTGAGGGGTCATTGTCTCATCAACGGCTAGGCATATAGCATCTCCACGCTTTTATACATAGGTATATATATATCTCTCTCTCGGTGGCAGGTACGCACCTCTATATGATTCGATTATAGAAATCGAGGAAGATTATCCTACATATAAGAGTATCATCTAAGGTAACAGGTCTCAGCTCTTGCCAGTTAGCGATGTTCGTAAACTCTGCCTCGGTGTGAAGAGTCCTATCGAGCAAGGCGTAATCAAAAAACCCATACTCAGTGACAGTGGTAGAAGAGATGAATACACACACGGAAGAACCAGCAACAGCCACTACAAATAACAATTCATTAGAGCTGACGGTTCAGTTGAATAGGGAAAGGTAGCTGGTAACGGTACCGGCAGCAGCGTTTAGTCGCGTCGGTCCACACGACAGACTTTGCCGGTTTATCACGCGAAGAACGACTTAGTTGGACAAGCGTTGTCGCTGGATGTATCAGCAATTTTAGAGGCGTCTGCGTGTTCCCAGGTGCTCGCATGTATCGAAAAATAAAGGTAGTGACTAGTTCATTGTAATCTAGTGATTGCATTCAAAGATGCACCATCTACTCATGTACTCATCTAATTATGTTTTTTTTTACAGAAGAAATGAGTTGCGAGCACCGCTGGCTCGAACCCCGCCATATGATACGCGCCACGAGAAGCCTAAAAAAGAATTCCATATTAGACTTCCTAATGCCATATTAGACATATATGTCTGTCTTTGGAATAGTTAATTGTGATTGTACACAGTATGAATGTAGGATGAAGTTTCATTCAAAATGGAGACCATTTCGTTTTTGAATAAAAGCCGTTGATTGACACAATCATGGGTTGAGTAAAGGAATAGAAATCAACTGTTAGGCCTGTGTGGTCGTTGCACCGAAGGATCTCCTGGACGGCAAAACAGCACACTTTATCAGCTGGTGATGCTTCAAATACCGATACCGCGAACAAGTATGAAACAGTACATTCTAAGGGTCTTTTGACTATACATGTTAGATCTCCGCCATATGTAGCAGATAGATCAAAATAGATCGAGAAAATATATTTATGAAACGATGACTGATTAGTTAGCGATTGTGCACATATGCCGTTAGTCTCGAGACGCTACCTCTAGCGCGCTCTCTTGGTCCCTTACCTAGGTTTCTGATGTCGACTGTTTGTATATTCGCCATTACGGACGATGGTCTTGAAAGAGGCTGCGACTGACCACCTGGCGCAAAAGGCTGAGTCCGATCCGTCTGCGATCCCGCGTACAGAAATGGAATAATGGTTCCGGCCGTCACCTGAGAAGCAGTGGCAGAGTAGCCCATGCTGGGCATCGGCTGCGTGTTACGGACCAATGATGGTGTCTGTGATACCGCGCCACTTGGAGATTTCTGGAAAATTGTCAATGAACTAATACTGGGCTATTCATTATTGAGTCACTCATTATACGCTAATATGATAAAATCGGCCACGGTCTGGTCAAACCACTTTCGCGTACGCGGAAGCCATCGCAGACGATAAATAATCGTCATAGGAGGGCTAGCCGGTAATAGCTGAACATCTAAATACAATTTTGACAATTTTTCTTTACCTGTTCGATACAGACAACAAAAACAAAAGCTTATTATATAATAAGCTAGGACAGCATAGAATTTGGAAAAAAAAAAACAAAAATGGGGTTAACATTAGCAGCGATACGATCTGATTGCGCTAGTGACTATACCGATTACGCAAATAAAGCTTTCATTTATCAAAACTGAGTGTAACAACGAGGAAAGGACAAAAGAGGTCTATCATACAAAATAACTATAAGCATTATACCTGTAAAGCGGCTTCGATTATCTTCTGTGCAATATTGAGTGGCTTTTGCAGAGTCTTTCCAATTGCCGTGGTTGTGGCGTTCTTCATGTTTCGTACCACACTTTCTTTTTCTATTGTGTTTGCCCCACCAGAGGAACTTTCGGCTTTTGACAGCCTCGTTGCTGTAGTGTCTTTTGGGATCGCCCCGGTTTCTGCGCTCATCCGTCTTTCTGTTACGGCTGATGTACCAGTTGTCGTTAACTCTGCTGCTGCCACGTTTGCCATCGAGACACAACTAGTAACATCAAGGCTGCTGTTTATTAGGTGCGGCGTTTTTGCCTCGGCTCTAAGTAACGGCGATGCGGATTCAATCGACGCCGCGATCGGGGCTGAACTTGCTTCTACAGCTGCTGTGACCTCATCGGCATCCGAGGTTTCCGGGCTTGCAGCCACTGGGCAGCCATCAACGACTGGGACACTATTACTACTAGCATTATCAAAATCACTAGGCTGACTTTTGCTATTATTTGTGCTACTTGTATGTACATTAGGCCGAGCCTGAAATGATTTGCCTGACGATGAGGCTGTCGCGCTGCCTATTAACGTAGCTGATGTCGACATGGTCGTTATTGTAGTCGTAACCATATCGGTTGTAGAGGTCGTCGTCTCAATTGCGTTGTTTTGCACCAGCTCGCGCTCCTCGGATGGTGCTGGAGTGAGAGTCGAACTTGAAGATGCTTCCTCAATATCGTCAACCGAAATCCGTTCTTCAGATATAGTCGACACCAATGAAGAGTCTGCTTCGGCGGAGCCCATTGGCGGTGATGGCATGCGGCTGGATTTTGTACTTTCTTTTTCCTCTTCAACGCTCGCGATTGCCCCCGCCGTTGCTAACTTCGTTAAATTCTTCATCAGCTTGGTGCCACAGTTGCTGCTAGTGGCCACGGAAGCCGACGCTTGTTTTTCGTGGCCTGCTGCGTCTGCTATGATGGTAGATCGTACCGGAGCCTGTTTTTTGTTGGTTCCATTAGAGATCGCTGGATCCGGGGGTAGCACTGCGGCGACGCTCGTAACCTCTTCGGATTGAGTGGTCGTTAGTCGGTCTGCGGATGTGGGACTCTTTTTTTTCACCGATTTTTGGAGAAGGCTTTTCCTGCCGAGTACTGTTTTTTTTGACCCTTCGACAATGCTTGTGCTACTCATTTTTGCCGTAATATTTTCCTGAGAATTTTTAAAAACTGATTGGCCATTCTCAGTTATGCTGGTTTTCGCTTGCTCTTTACTGGTAGCACGCCTGCCGTTCGTCTGAAGACCGACTGTGGTCGAGCTCTCGTGACTGACTACTCCATTAGTAACTTGCATTACCGGAGCTGAATCAGTTTCGCTTTTGGCCACTTGCGAATTCGGTTCAGGAAGCTGTTGCTGTTGTTGTTGTTCGGACTGCGTACTGGACGCATCCCCATTACACTTCGATTCTTGTTTTTTGACTTCTTTTGAAAAGAACGTTGACCTGTCTCTGACGCTCCTGAGCTCAACGCCAAAAGCAGACTTATCGAAACTGTTTCGTTTTAAAGGAAAACGGGACAAGACCTTAGCCCTTGGTGGCGGAGCAATCCCTTCGTCGGTCCTCTCGTTGCTTGCAGTGGCCGACTGAGCTGGGGAAGACAGTGATGCTTTGCGTACAAGTTTCGGTGTAACCCCCGTGCCAGTTTTTGGGGGCGATTTGCGTTCCGTTGTTGGCGTTGTCGCTGAGGCAGGCACAGACAGTGACGGCGCAGCGTTGGACGCTGAAGGCGTCACAGTAGCTGCTTGTGCTGGAGAGCCAGCACCTGGAGTAGCCGCCTGACCGTTCGTTTTGGTGAGTTTCAGCTTGACAGCTGAACCCGACGACCTGAAACCACACAGAATAAATCATGTAACAATAAAAATGCACAAGCTTTAAGTGATGAGGTTACGGGCTGACTGAACTCTGGCTAACTAACAATTCTAACCGGACAATTCACTCGAAAAATTATGCAAGACGTAATTCTGTGCTACACCTTGATGACTTATGCTAAAAAATTATGTTACCTAGGGCCATTAATTCTCTATTCATTTACTTATTTCCGTCACGACGATACTCTAATAAATAAACTGAACAATATGTGCCGTTTTGTATCGAAGTATATCGAAGGAAATGTGCATCTAAAATAGTGGTAGGAAAATGTTTTTATTCTGTACACATTTAATGCCCTAGCTTTCTCACAGTTATTGAGCGGTCAGTCCGGGTCTAATAACAAGTCTTATGATCCTACGGAAGCGAGAGCGATAGTTTCGCCGTGGGCGTCAGTTCTGCTTGTTACAACGGTCAGCTGCGCCCCCAGCCTTTCTCCAAACCGGCACGCTCTGCTAAAAGCAAATAATTCGCAGTCGCATAGGTCAAAGCATTAATAGTGTAATATTTTACCCAAGAATAACTGTAATACCGTATTCTCTGACCGGTCGCCAGTCGTGTTCAGTGACTAATTGTCGTATCCGTCCATGTTCGCACCATATCCGATGATAATTGTTTTCTTAATAAAAAAGATAAAGAGAAGGAAGACGACGCGCATCGCAAATGCAAAACAACCTTGTCGTCACAATGTAAAATTCATCGCAGCCAGCCCAGCACAAACGACGAGCTGGGGCCTGTCGTCGTGAAGTGCGCACTCGAAATAAGAATATGTATGTGCACGCACGTACCCATACCCTGCATGGTGTTTTTCGTGAACTTCATGTTTGGCACGAAGATCTAACATGACTGGCAGCAATTGTGAGCCTACTACCTATGCCAGCGAGTTGCTTCTACGACGCAGCCCATGCGCGAATACGAGGGCTGGCGTACGAGCGCCATTGGCGGCCTGATCCGGCAGACGGATTACAGCTTACTAGACACTTCAAAGAGGGCAACAGAAGTAGAGAAAACAGCATTAGCCTCGTCCGGATACGCGCACGCACATGTGGGACCATCGCTGGTTTGTCTCTATCCCTCAATAACGGGTATGATTGCTTGCTCTATTGATAATAAATGATCATGTACGTATCGTAAGACTTCGTCCATACAGGAGCCTAACAGCACGTACATGTAACTAACTATATGTTAGAACACAATTGTATGTTAATAAACACAAAATCTCTAGTTTCGTTCGTGCATAGATCTACTAATCCCTAGAATGTCTAGCGATAACCAGCAGGCCAAAAAAGGACAACGGACCCATCCCATTAAAGATGAGTGTGAAGTCACTATTTCGCTCCGCCTAATCATATGGTCAACAAGATCAGTATGAATAGAATCGTCCATAATCATGACCGTAATTATGTTCTTATGCTACAGAGGAGAACGTCAACTTTTAGATAGTTTTCACGCTGGCAAGACTTACATGCGCTATGAACTTTTTATAGGCCCGAAGTCGTCTGATCAGGTATGCAACAGGCAATTACATTGTATAACAATAACGTATCGTAAAAATTTGTGAGGCTACCGTACCGTACCGTACCTCTGACAGAACGTTAGCTTTCCATCGCATGAAGAGCAGTCGTCGCAACGCTATTGACGCCCGATCGATCACTCCATCAAAACGAGTGGGCAGTTAAATAGATATGCACACGTGTGCGCGGAAAAATGCACATTGGCAAATGAAAGTTCTGATCCCGTTTGCAGCTGGCGTTCCAGTCACAATTCAATCTGACCTGATACATTATAGATACGTGAAGAGTAGCAGCTAGGCAAGAGAGTGCCAAGATCTTGCCTCTCGGCTATCGGCTGTAACGAACGTGTTCAATACGTCTGACGAGGATCCGGCTGCTCTGTATACGTCTAGATTTGATGTCAGGGTACACTTCATTCTTCCATTATATCGATTTGTTCTCGTCTCATTGTTATAATGTTCATAACGGCGTAAACAGAAATATCGGTTTATATTGAACGGTACCCCGCGAAGCTCTGGCTTGCTTATTTTAGGTCCAGTATGTTTGTTAGTACCTGCTACGGTCAGTTTATCTGCAATTGGTGTGTCGTATATATCTATTAGTCGTATAGCATAGCTAACGTAAGTAAACCGCTGAAGCAAAATACCGATTGTCATTTATACCCGTTATCGTCGACAAAAAAGATCGTCACTTCGCCCATAGACAATTTCGAAAAATCTAATGCTGCATTGTCTGTTGCTCTTTCGGTCAAAACGCTTCGCAAGTTATTAAATTGCTAGCGTCCATTTCTAGGTACGGCGTAACGAACAGAACTTTGTGACAGTTGTTACCTATCAAGAACGTGTCTTTACTAACATCGTGCGATATCATACGGCGTGCTAGAAGCGACGGCTATGCGGTAACCAAACATACAAGGACGCCTATCGTTGCGCACGCATGTCCACAGTTTATGTACGTAAATGAGCTTAGATATAAAAACTTTTGCTATGGCGGGCAAAAATCACTCCTCTTTAGTTCGAACCTATAAGCTTTTCCAATAGTTGAAGTCATCTAATTTTCCACTGTTCAGAAGTACGTTTCTGTAACCGATTTCTGCTTTTGTACGAATTTGGACTTGATTGTCTGGCCCATTTTGACTATTGACCTACTTGTTACGGCACAATAGCTCGCCGACGACGTATAGCGGGCAGGTACTAGGTAAAACTTAGCCCTGTTCAGATGAGTTTCGCTTAGCTGCAAGCGCAAATTTTCACCATACATGACCGGCAAATCGGTGGTATACGACAGGATGCATTAGACTGCCATATCATTGGTTGGCAGGACCGAACCAGGCCGATAGAACACGTAAGCCGCCTCAAACGACCCATCTATTGACCAATTGCGCATCCTGCGGATTAGTTAATAGGGAAATATTGGCTACCGCCATATCAGCTGTTGTGTGCTTCTAACTATTTCAGTGACCTTGCAATTACTTTTTTATTGCCATCTTGTTTTCACTCGAATACTAACATTTTTGCCTTAAATCTCGCGATAGTTTACCGCGAAACCTCTTACCGAAAAAGACAGACCACCGTGAGTGTTCATTTGAGTGGTGTCGTAGTCTATCTGCCGTTATCGTTACTACGAAGTCCATTACGCTGTCATGCGACCCGCCAGCGGCTGCCTCAGCTGGTTGCTTACTCAGTAAAATCACTTCGTGAATTTGGCTGAAGTCGCTTCAACAAAAATTCATTCATAAATAGATATCGACCGCGAGCGTTGACTAACAAATGGTTGCACCATTTTGCTCTGACCAATCTTACCTCTGACTTACGGACGGAATGAGTCTGAAAAGCCCTAAGACAAGTCAGCCGTAATATCTCTGATCTCATCATGGTGGCGGTGGTGGCGGCGGCGGCGGCGGCGACAGCAGCAGCAGCAGCAAGAGATATTTCTAGCAAAGCACGTGGCGACAAGACTATGGCAGGCCGCAGCGAGAAGATACACAATGTCCCTCAGGCGGAAAGAGATTCATTTAGATTAGATGATCATCAGTTGCAGCGATAGCCGCCGTCGCTGTTTCGATCACTCGAGATAAACGTACTAATATTAAAGTGTAAAGGAGTGAACCGTACTTGATCACACGCTGCACGCACATACAGAGGGACGACACTGGAAATTGGCACGTTGAGTGACATCGGCTACCGGGGTGAAAGAGTCACACGCGCCCCGCTGCGGATTTATGTAATTTATTATAGCATACATTAAATGCAAGGTGCTTCGCGAGTAGGAGCTAATGAGCTATAGAAGGTCAAGTTTACTCAGCAAGTACTACTATTCTATTCTGTAACCAGCGTACGAATTTATACTTTATATTTATATGAAAGGTGCGCCTAAGCAACACTGACAGCATTTTTATTCATTTTCGGTATCGTGAAGGCAAGAATTTCGACAACGAGGTAGAAGCAGCTATTGTTCTGCCTAAATAATACATATTTGGCTTCCTTCGGCTAAATCACTTACTCGATGCTTTCTGTTGGGTCTTCCACTTTCGGGCCAAAAAGCCAACGGTATAGCAACAAGTTATTCAATGGCATTTCTCCTTTAGGAATTCTATAGTATTTATGATTGTACTACGTAATTACGTATGCAGAAGTTCGTCTTGCTTTGCAATCCCTAATATGATATTGGCCTTGCCGTGACCCTAGTTACAATGTCAATGCAAACTTGAAGAATCGACCGCGAACAAATCTATTCGCCCTTAGATGTTCTGGTATTTTCAAACGCTTCCGGTATTTCGAGCCACCTGAATATATGGTTCTCAATAATGATGCCTCTTGCGAGCAAAAAATGGTGTAAACGCATGCGGACATAGCACAATTATGATTCAGTTATAGCAGTTGGGTGTAAACCGTATCACCGTTTGAAGGACCACGCGGCCATGAATCTAGCACGTAGGATCTTACTCTATATAGGTTCTAGCAAACAGAACGAATTATGATTTAATATAACAAAAGACAGTTGGTTATGTCGAGCCCCTTGGATCTGTCTCACTGGATGTTCTATCATTTGTACCGTATGGCGAACGGGGGGCTGGGAGGCAGTTAAACTGTCTCAAGTATTTCAGCAGGACAATGTTGATCAGAGAGATCGCCATATCGACAAACATATCCTCCTCGAAACAATGATGCTTATAGGCTAACCATTTACAATCCTTCTTCAATAAATTTTTCAGGGCAAATATGTTTGTTTTGTCGTCCGATTCGAACGACAGGACAAAAAACAAAATCATAATAGCGATGGCTTCATGTATATTGCCACTGAACAATTCTCCAAAAGCAGGCGATATATTTCAGATCGTAAAGCAGCTGATAATTAACACTTAAATGGAAAGATAAAGAAAAATAGTGAAATAATAGACCAAGGCATCAAACAGAGAAGTAACCACAACCATACCTTGCGGTCTAAGAGAATATTTTCTAAAAGCAGAATCTACCGTTAGAGACAGTTGACTTATGATGCAAGATGCCTTCTAGTACACAGGTAAGCAATGTCTGGGCTACGTAACTGTTTTGGTGACAACCAAATAGGTCATCGTTTGAATATATGAACACCATTGTTTTATGTAATGATTGAGACTCCTTCAGCAATCAGGCTATCAGGGGTTGCATCTTCCGGAATGCAGGACAGAGCGACAGCTATTCCGGCCATCGTTCAGCCTTCAACACACAATACTACTGCCTTGTGATGAAGGCGTGGTCGCTCTATATCAGACCCTTAACTGCCTTGTAAAAAGAGTGATTTTTCTACATACCGCTGGTGACGGCGGTAGCCAGCAGCATCGATCATTTTTAACACGGTTTTTTAAATTTAACTGAAAATTTAGTGCTTTTCTAAGGTTCGAACTTTTCGGCGCCCGGCGAACTTCGCCCGTATTATCGTCCCGTTCTACCTACGTTACTATGTGCTAAATACGAACTGGATTGATTGGAAAATAGCAAGGGAGTAAACGAGTTGTTCAAGTTTTTGACCTGTAAAACAACCCAACTAATAAAAAGTTCATTGCAATAGGATAACAAGGTCCAAAAACACCAGGCTATATACGCCTAGGTTCGATCTTTTAAAACACGTTTTATTCAGAAAACACACTTTTCGGTCTCAAAAACCGTTTTAAAGGACTCGAAACAGTCAAGGAACCTAATTATTATGAAAAATTGGAGCATCTCTAGTTTTGGCATCCATTAGGCCAAACAAATATTTTCGACAGGGATTGTGTTTCCTGTCGTTTAGTTGGCAACCGATTCGTTGGATTCGTACATGGAAAATATCGGTGGAACAGGAGAGTATTAGTCACGTCCTAGTGTAAGTTAAGGTAATTTCTTCAGTAACTTTTTCAGCCTGTGAGGTAGCATCCATGTCCTTATACACAATTCAGTTGGTACGAGCGAGTGTCCGTTGGATCCGTTGATTAATGCCAACGTCACTACGCTGCCGCGCATGTACACACGGGGGACATTCGTTTTCTCCTGTCAAAATGTTCTTTTAATTACTTAATGTATGGGTTTATTTAACATTACTATTTACATTTAGTAGACTGGAGTGGGGCGCGCGGGTAATTTGCAAAAACGAAAAAAATTCTGATAAAAAAACGATATCTTGATCCGTTTGAGATTTGAGTTAGGAATAAAGCAATACGCTTCGGGTTTTCTACTTTGTTTTTAACTTCCTGGTAAAAAAACAATGTTTGAACGCCTAAAATTTCGATCCGATGCGACGTATTAAGTGTTAACATGCAGCAAACCTGCTAGCACACAATAGATTACCGCTGTCACATATTCACTTTAAGACCTTTAATCTCTGAAATGTTTTTGTAAACCAATTGAATGTTATAGCAGTACATGCCATCACCTTAGCCACATCACCACAGACGCTGTAGCTCCGAACTCAAGGGGAAATATTTTTAACCGCGTTATTTTGACACTGCGATCGTCTCTAAAATGATGGCTGCCATGTGGCCGTAACTGACATCTGGCAAAGGGACTCTTAGAATAGACTTGTCCAAACGGAGACAAAGGCCGAACCCTAGACCTCTTATCCTGTGAGCAAACCTGACAGCATCCTGACCCGGTTTCGTTGCCTCTTAATAACTGTGTCGACCTGCATATGATATACAGGTCGACACTAGTGCGCTTCTTGTGTAGCTCAATTGGGTTATGATTTTTTTCCGTTGAACAGAAACTTCGAATTTGATCAAAATACATAGAGAAAAGTCGCTGTTGGAGTCAGGTAGTCATTAAGCTTAAAATTACAATTGATTTGTCTATTAAATGCGCGGTTACACTGATATCCTGATCTTTCTAAGACTAATGAAACACTACTGAATCCGTAATGGCTACATGTTGAGCCAATATCATGCTTCGAAATAGGTCGTTCTGTCGTTGGCTACCTTCATTGCCCCATTGTCCTCATGATCGCTGATTACTTCATTTCATCTCTGTTCCTCCAGACCTCTTCAGAATGACTCCAACCAAGTCGTTACTCTTACTCTTACGAATTTCGCCAAACCTAGATTTACGGTGGAGATCGAACTCGCGCGGAAAACAAGCGACCATAGCAAATTGCTTCGCTGTTGTCAAAGCGTCCGCCTTTTCAACAACAAAGCGTTGTTGCAGCATAAGCAAGAGTACGATCGTTTGCGTAAAGCCAATTGCTCAGCAGCCGACCGGCGGGTCTCGGCGCACGACAGACCATGCGCGCTGGGCCACACTCAAATCACCCTAAGAAACCTTGTTTCTCAGACAGTAAGCGAAGCGACGATATTAACAAAGAGTTCCCTTTTGTGCTGATGTATGCCAACCACCAAGATGCCACTAGAGGGAGCCTGGCCAGCCAGTCTCTTCGTGAGTAAAGTAGGGTCGTCTGCAGCTATCTTGGCCATGCTAAAATTGCCCATTGGTCTTGCTGAACACAACCGATCTCCGCTAGCGACGACGGTTTCTATGACGACGATATATGGTACAATGTATGAGTTATGGGCGCCCACCATATAGTTCTAACGGTGGCCGCAGTTGTTGACAACGGCTGCTTGCTAGGTGATACTATACACTATAGCGAACTAACTAGTATCGCAGTGTTAGCTGGAAGCCGTCCGACTTCCGATTGGTACGAAAACTAGCAATCAGAACTCGCGTCACAACTGCTACGGTGACTCTGAACAGCTGAGGATTCGGCTGATTTATCGATATCGATGCCTCGGCCTTCGTGCAAAATCATAGTACATATTTACGTTGCCTAAATGGGGCTATTTTCTCAACTATTGTATAAAACAAAGATGCCGTTGTCGAACGAATAGGTACAGATAACAAACAGAAACCGACAGAAACTCGGGAAGTATACATTTACGAGAGCTATTCGAATTGCGCGGAATCCTGTGCATGGCAAAACGTACGTTGGATACAAAACGAAGATTCTAATCGATATAACAGAATAGGGTGTCAGTTGCTGTAGCGGCCAATAATTGCTTGTCGATAATTTGGTCAAGAACTTGTCTATATAGGCACCAAACACGATTTTTTCGAAAATCCAGGATAAAATTTCGCATAAATGTTAATCTTTGTACATACACCGATTGACTGAGGTGGCTATATATGCTGGTTTCTTGCCCGTGAGTTATCAATAGAACGAGTGCAGACAAAGCGGTATTACGTAGTTCCTCGTGTTTTTTCGTTACAGACGTCTAAATTAATGGAACCCACCTCGGTGTAGTTTGTGGAGGTTGGATCTTGGGCTTACTCTTGAGGGTGAGCGTCACTGTGGCCGAAGTAGACATTATGACTACTACGGGTCTTCTGAAGCATGGATCTTCTCCGCCTTTCGAACGACACAACAGTTAACACAATGCTATTGATATTGGTAACACCACAATTCACTTCGCGCTCCAGCGTGTCTCTACCGTGCCTCCACCAGCATGTACTACTCGTAATAATGCAATATAACCTTTGTTGATTTTTAGTTCGTTCTCACATACTGCACTTCAAGTTGCAACTTCGCGGGTATCCAACGCGGCCCTATTAGATACGAATCATTTTACGTTCCTATACGCAACCCTATCGAACCTAGTTGACGCTAGAGTAGGCGTAAGATTCCGCCTTGCTGCTGCCACTAACCTTCCGAAGTTCCACCGGTTCGATTGGCTCTCGAAGAATCCTATGGATCAGGGCACCTAACCGACGTTATGTTTCGTGGCCAAACCAAGTCAGTTGAGTGTCTTCTCCGCCACTATTGTGGCCCCGTAATTTCCAAAATTCTGGTCTGTTCGCCACTAGGCTAGATTGACCCAGCTCAGCTATTCTGCTCCTAGGTAAGTCTGCTATTCTACCGCTTGGTCTGTCCTAGGGCGAGCTTTCACTACCACCAGCCCAGCTACCTCTTGTGCTGCCCTCCACCTAAGTTCTACTGATATCAGTGTTGTGTGTCCACGCCGCGTGAACACACTGGGTTTCGGTCCAGAACACGGCGGCGAGAGACCAAAACTACTTTCCCAGTAAAGGCGGCGGCCGTTGGTTCATAAGCTTCCGCGCGGCAGGCCCTCGCGACAGATCTGTCCTCTTCCGGCGTCTTGCTCCCTTTCCTATCTTCCTTTCTCTGCTGTTGCGTTTTACTCACTATCTGCCGTGGGTTCGTGCTTTGTGTGAGCTTTTAGACCTAGTCCCCACATCTCTGAGGGGTCGCTCTCCTTCAGAATTTGTTCTGCTGTCTGTCGACTTCTCCGACGCTGCAAGCTACAGCCAAGCAGACGATAAGAAAGATGCACAAATCAGCCGGCAACGTCCATAGTGCCAGAGTGCGAACCAATGATATTACTATGGTAGTAACAGTAGCATAGTGTACGATGTACCCGAACACCGGGCGTTGAAGGCCACGTGATGCCGGCGCAAACACAGAATAGCATTAATTGAAGCTACAAGCCAGCAGTTGGCCGTCATCACATGGCTGACTGGTCTTACAAGTTGACTATTGGTTTACACAGAGTTTACACTGGAAGTCTCGCTCATTGAAAACATGCTTGTGGCAGCTCTTATATTAGGGCCTGCTGCTGTCGCTGTCATTTTCGTTGGTATTATTCTGACTGTCAAACAGCGATTGAGATGCGACGAATAGGACGGTCATCCCGATATACAGACTTGAGCTTACGTCGTCTTCCTACCCCTGTCTTTCCATTGACGTTCGTTTGATGCGCTCATCCTGTCACCCAAACCATCTAGGAGGTTTGCAATATTAGCTTTAGTTCGGAAAGCACGCTTACTTTTCGCGGTAAGTTTCCTTGCACAGTCCCTCTGTGCATGTGTGTATCAGTGTGTGTACACTAACGGCATATATGTCGTGTAGTTGACTGCAAGCGACTCTGATCTTTCTAGTCATAAAGTTGACTGGCTCCGACAACTTCCACAGACGTATGCTAGTGTTGCAAAACTCGTCCCGATATTATATATAGATAGATAGATGCATTGTTTCCACAGTTCTTCACTATGGCTGTGATGGATGCTGATAGTGAGAGGTAACATCCTAAGGCAATGCGGGTTTGCATGGATGAACTCATCGCATTGGAAATATGGCGCAATACTTCTAGCGCATTTAATTTGGGATGGGGTTCACAGTCTTCACTTAATAAGTCATCTTGTGAGTAATCGAAATTTATTTTCGTGATGAACCCGCTGTTTGTTCTAATAAGAACCCGATATTCAAATATTGTCTTTTTGATAATCTAAAAAAAATATATGTATAAATTTGCTACCTCAAGAGACTACAAGCAACCGTATTTATTCAGTAGTGTCTTGTACTACACATTCACGAATATATTGATGAACGGTTTACATGCACCTGTATGTGTACGTACGTTAATGGATGTTTTCGATGGAAATAGTAGTTTATGTAGATAGTGTAGATAATTCACCGTAGAGAGAATGGTAACCTAGACTGACCCTTACTCAGTTTCAGCGGTCACCAAATCCATTAGTAGAGCTCTGCCGTCACCAGATTCGCAAACGCTACCTTTTCGTTCACCTTTGAGTAATGCATCCGCTATTTTTCCGATCCCTTTCTCGTGTAGCATTCTGTCTTATATCGACAGCGTCAGTATGAGCTTCAGCTGGATGGTCTCGTTGGTGCGATGCCCTCTTGGGCACCGGTCATTGGGTTTGCGTGCTCGCGCACCCGGAACCACTGCGAACTACCAACTACTGCCAATTTCTCTAAGTCGCCCATCGATGTTCATTCGTTGTTGATAAGCTCGACAACATTACTTTTCCAGTCATTGTTATAAGCGCTGGCCCAGCCCAGCTATTGCATTAGTCAGAGAGGCTTAGGTGACTCCATTTGTTTATGCCATCGATAATACGCCCGACACTATAGTTGCTTTGAACCGATGCAAGTCCGTTGGTACCAGTTGCATACTCAGCATAGAACCACAGCTTGCGTCCTAAAGGCTTGCTGCCGCGTTAGGGCGACCTGTAGGGACCCAGCTTCGTTTTTATTATAGAAAACCCTTCATTCTTTTGGCACTTCATTTTTATACGTTGAAAGTCACTCACTTCCAAGTACTTAGAAAATAAAAAGCATACAATCGAACGCTCTGAAACATGGTCCATGAGTAGCAGATAGCCAGGCAAAGCCCAGTCACGCGTCGGCCACTAGCAGATAAAAATATGAATACTTATCGGTACTTTTTTTACTCAGTAGTTTTTTCTTGTTTGGAAAGTGAAGGACAACTGTGTATCTCTTTGTTTTGTTTTTTTTTTTGTCCGATTGGTAATCTATGGCATCTCGTTTATATTGAACTGTTGGAGAAGGATTAATTTTTTTTTAGCTAGGTAGCTTTTAACTCACATTGTCTAAGGTTTTTCGGATCGCGTCGGGTCGGCTTGTATTATTAGAAAGCTGAGATATAGCAATTATATATATGCTAAAATTGTCGGAATGCCATGATTTCAAGTTATGACAGAGCGCCTTGAATACGGGTGAACGTTCCGCAACAAATTTAATGCATCTAGCCTTGCTTCGATCTCGCACCATCAGACTACCATCTGCGTCTGTCTGTGCAAACTCTCCTAACCACTCTCAGCTCTCGTCTCTCTAAGTAAAATAACTTCGACCCTAACGAACGGCGTACACGTCATTTGGGAAGATCTTACGATGGAGAACCTCAATTCAATCATGTCAAAATCTCCTTCCTCGGAAAAAAATACTGCGATAATACGTAGTAACCCGAGGTCTCCCCGCATGCTGGCTCAACATTGTTGTATGAAAATCCACATCATCCGTAAGACCCACCCTAAAGATTTGATGTAAAAATTCGTGGGGTCAATGGGGGCTTCTCTGCTTCGGGTGCGATGAGGAATACCAAGTAGAAAAGCACGAACTGGGTAACAGACATAGCGTCATTCGATTTGCCGTGCGTACGTTCCACGATAGATTTTGTACGAAACCGTGTTTTCACGAGCCCGACGATACAGGCAGGCTCTCCAGGTACGGGGGAAATTGTGATAGATATCATGCCGCTTATTGGCCCCCGGTTCTATACTTAGGACATCTGGTAAATGTTTTATAATAGTATATTTAATACACTTTTCAGGACGCGTATCAAGTAATATTTCGAAATAGTTCTATATACTGGCTTTGATATTGGAATACTGTGTTGTTTACCTGGATGTATGAAGCTTTCGACTACTATTAACAGTGGCGAATAGATAAAATTTAATTAATACCTCTTTTAAGGTACTAATGAGTTTTAATAGAGGGCTGCAAGAATCACTTGCCACGATTTTAGCCCAGAAATCACAGAAGCTATACAATATTGGAACTGTTATAGTACCAGAAAAATGGCAAAAAGTGATCAGTGAAAATATTCAGTTAAGCAATTTTCTTATTTTATAAAATACTCACTTCCATCTTGTCTTAAAAGGAGTAACATATTTTTTAACAACCCAATATATGCCTAAAATATAGCAACCCTTATAGACTTCCGGATATAGACGTAGTATAGCTCAGTGCGAAGACTCATCTTTGGGTTTGGGTTACCGCCTGGGGTTTACTACGTCTATGAACTTTAAATGTCACCTATAATACATACACTACGAGGTAATAGTAAATATATTAAGTATGATACATGCCATAGCTCTTGAAACTACGTACCGAATATGTGTATTGTATGTATGTGTCTGGGCCTCAAACAACCTCAGATCAATTCAATTCACGGACAGTAAAATTATAGGATAAGAAAATTGTTATAATGCTTAGGTTAAGCTTTCTAGATCGTTTGCGAATCTGCTCGTTATTGTAACACCGATTTCAAACCTCTGTTGTATAGCCAACAACGGGTAATAAAGCCTTATTGATTTTCAATTCATTAGCTAACTACAATATTGTAATGTACAATATGATGAGCAAGCCCATAAAAATTTAGCTTTTTCTTTACGTTGATGGGAGTAGCAGCTGACCGGCTTCAACTTCTTTTCTGGGCGGCCCTTTGTAAGCCCACAGATCACGATCTTGCAAGTACTCGCTTCCCCGCTTACATTTACCTATTGCGGTGGAAAAGGGGTAGTCTTGCCTACACAGGCCATCTTCGCTACTGCTGCTTCTACAGTCGCTGTTCGTCTAGCACGGAAGCGGTTGTCGCAATGCGTACTCGTTGGTGTGTTGTTTTCTATTGATTAACGTTGCTCCTCCAATTTTGGTCCACTTGTGCTTCCTTTCGCTGGCTTGCCCTGTCCTATCCCAAGTCGAGTGGCCTGCCTGGCTAGTTGGTCTTGTGCGCAATATCGAAACTTTCCTGCCTGTGAACAGTATGATATATAGTATATGATACAGTAAAAACACCAGCTATGATATCCGATAAAACTATAACCACGGCTCGACTACAGGCTTACTGTACATGCTGTCTCATGCTGCTGACGTTTTCAGACAAGCGCTTTTTTATTTGGTCTGTAAAAGCGTTTGAGGAAGACCACCACGCTAACTATATCACAAGTCGATGCTGAGAGTTCTAATGGGCGTAATTTGTGTGGGCAATATCAAGGTATCGTCCTTCATAGCTTGGTACAACTGACCAGCGCCTAGACGAGGACTATTTGGATGTTGGTCAGGCTGTTCTGCAATCAACTGGAAAGTGTTTAGGGTCATTCGCGGCATGGCCATCTACGGCCGAGTGCAGGTTGCCTCCACGCTAACAGACCAGCATGGGCAAAGGTTGGCTACAGCCAGGTCTCATCGACAGGCTGGCTGGTTTCCTGGCTTGGAATCTGGGGCCGCAGACACCGTGCTACACTACACCTACACGAGTGCTGGGGACCTGCCTATTTCAGCAGTCCTCCCCCTTTTCTGCTGCGTTTACGCATTTGAAAGGCACTATTAGCGCAATTCAGCGATAAAGCGCTCAAAACAAACGATGGTTGCTCAGAGCATGTAAAGCCGTGGGGCATCCAAAGAGCCAAATACGATC